ACGTACATGATCCAGTGATGTTACAGGTACAAGCCCTGTCTCTTATACACATCTAGATGTGTATAAGAGACAGATCTTGTATCGTGTGTCTTAAAATTACTCCTTCTCTAGCCTCATAATACACTTCAGGCTGAGTCACTGTTTTCTCAGAATAATCAAGTGTCGTTATGTTTTCGTTACGGCACAAACAATAATGATAAACGGGAACAAGAACAACAAGTACAACAATAATAACAACACCAGCAGCGATGATAATCACAACATCTAACGATAAATAAATTGAGTTTTTATCTTCAAAATTAGGCATATCGCTTGTTGTTTTCTCAGTTTCAACATTTGTTTTTGGTTTTGTAATGTAAATCCGTATTGTAGAAATTGTTTCTCCTATATCATTCCTGGCAATACAAGTAAGGTTAGATCCATTTTGCGCTATTGTTGGCCTTACAAGTTTCAGTACTTGTTTAGTATTATCCAAAATGTAGTCCGATGGTGGTACGTCCGGGTGAAACATCCACTTATAGTTAGTAACTGGAGGGTTAGCATTTGTCTGACAAAATATAATCGTTTCCCGACCTGCTAATATCGGCTGTATGTACTGAATATCGATTTCTGGCTTATAAAGGATGTTCAGTGGTCCGACACGGCAGCTTGAGATGTTGTTCGGGACAAGAGTGGATGTTTGTTCACATGTGTACAGTGCGCCATCTTGTTCCTTCTTTATTTTCATGCTTAAAACCAAGCTAACATTCTCTTCATGTTCACTTATTGATGCCAGTCTTTCTAAGTCTTCGCCTTGATGCATCCACTTTAATGATACTGGTGGATTAACATTCTGTGACATACATTTAATGTCTACTAACGAATCAACGAGGATGTTTCGGCTTGGAATATCGCAAAGTGGGTACTGAGGCCCAGGCACAGATTGTACTACTAATATCGCGGCACGAGACCGTTTAATAATTTCACCAGATTCGGAAGCTACCACAACGCATTGATATCGCCCACCGTCAGTGGTAGCTACATTAGTTAACCAAAGAATTATTTTAGATCCGCCTTGTTTTCTTTGAATCGAATATTTGTTTTTACTCAGGTCCTCCGACGCAAAAATTCGTATGTCATTTTTGTACCATTGTAATATCTGATCGTCTTGTAATCCGGTGACGATGCACGTAAACCAGTGGTCTCTACCTATGTCAGTAGTATCATCAGAAGGTTCATCAATAAAAGATACATTCCCATTGCAGCTCTTCAAAACCCACATCCACGACACAATAAATAGCACTCTCAATCGAATCTTCATTTCGTTAAAATCTTGAAAGAATATTATATTAATGGTTCCTCTAAATTAAATATATCAAAACAAAAAGTGCGGAATCAAATGCTACGAACTTGTCCTGCTATGCTTAGACATTATTAATATTAAGTAGTAGACTGTATCAAAATATTATTATGTTACACGTTCGCACTATGTTATTCAAAAGCATTCAAACGTCATTGAAATTATTTTTACAGCAGTAAATACACGATTGTGTTTAAGAAAGGCCTTTTATATAACATCATATTCTGAGGAAAAACTAACTATAATTAAGTGATTCATATTTACAATTACAATGATATTTAAAGAAATAGAAATACAAAGAAAACTATTATACCAAAATTAACGACTTAGTAAAAATGTAAACATGTTTGTAGACGAGATTGCTGCAATATCTATATTCTATCTAACTCACCAAAGTTGTAAATTTGGACAACTTCGTTATGTCAACTGTTTTTGTCATTGTTTTTGTTATGAGTTGTTATTTTTTCTGATTGCTTTGTACATCTGAATATTATTCTTAAAATTAATTCATTTAACAAAACACTTTTATCATTTTCTTCCTTTAAGCATCTATTTCAATAAAACGTTTTGGAACTATTTTTCTTACACAGTGAAATGTTGACAGAGTTATGAAAGAAAATATGTTTACCTATCTAAAAGCTATAACGGTATCTGTGCTTGGTCTTTAATATACTCACATATTCCTGAAAATTTGCTTTAAAAGTGAGACGGATACTGGTTTTAATTGGTTGCGGTAAACAAAAGAGGGGTTTGATTATATTTTGTAAAAGCTCGATATAATTTTTATATAAACAACATGTTAATGTTTGTACATTAAATATCAGATAATACAGTGATCCCTATTTAAATGTATGGACCAAACAAATATGAACCAGATTAACTAGAGATAATAAAAAGCTAATTACTTTAAGTTTGATGTTTAATATCATACATAGACGTTTGGAAACGTAATGCTCGAATGTTTATCTTTTAATGTGTTCACCATTTCATTGTACAATATTTAGTTAGATAAAAAAAGAAAAAAAAATCGTAAATAATATATTTGCCCATTCTATTGAACCGAGTACCAGTACTAGTAAGCACAACGATGTTTACTATATAAAAAGTTTTTTTTTTAATTTATGGAATTCTAGGTTGTTCACCTGACAGTAACATATCAATCTTTCCCAGTGTCAGTATACGTGTAACTATGCAATTAAGAGCTTTTGAAGCTGTTAAGTGCCTAAACTGGTCATGCACTTATGTATTACTGTATACACAAGACAGTGAATGGTTGTGTTTAATATGGTATTGTTATCTTCTTTTGAGCCTTAAATTACACATCTGGTGGTTTTTATCTTTTTTTCCTCAAAATAATCATAATTCATATGAATATATAATAAAGGTATATTTGCAAAACAAACAATAATTATTTACGGGGACTAAAGCAAGAAGTACAATAATATGAACAACTTCAGAAGCGATTATAAATAAGCCTACAACCTGTCTCTTATACACATCTAGATGTGTATAAGAGACAGACCTTGTTTTCTTTGAATCGAATATTTGTTTTTACTCAGGTCCTCCGACGCAAAAATTCGTATGTCATTTTTGTACCATTGTAATAGCTGATCGTCTTGTAATCCGGTGACGATGCACGTAAACCAGTGGTCTCTACCTATGTCAGTGGTATCATCAGAAGGTTCATCAATAAAAGATACATTCCCATTGCAGCTCTTCAAAACCCACATCCACGACACAATAAATAGCACTCTCAATCGAATCTTCATTTCGTTAAAGTCTTGAAAGAATATTATATTAATGGTTCTTTAACGCACCTCTAAATTAAATATATCAAAACAAAAAGTGCGGAATCAAATGCTACGAACTTGTCCTGCTATGCTTAGACATTATTAATATTAAGTAGTAGACTGTATCAAAATATTATTATGTTACACGTTCGCACTATGTTATTCAAAAGCATTCAAACGTCATTAGAATTATTTTTACAGCAGTAAATAAACGATTGTGTTTAGGAAAGGCCTTTTATATGACCTCATATTCTGAGAAAAAACTAACTATAATTAAGTGATTCATATTTACAATTACAATGATATCTAAAGAAATAGAAATACAAAGAAAACTATTATACCAAAATTAACGAAAAAATGTATTTTCTGTATCAATGTAAGTATAACTATGTGACTCAAGATCATTGGGAACTTGTGATGCTGTTGAATGTCTCCAATGACCATATACCTCTGTAGTAGGTACACGAGGCAATGAACGATCTTGAATCGTATGTCTTAAAATAACTCCTTCTCTAGCCTCATAATACACTTCGGGTTGAATTACCTCTTTCCCTGAAGAATCAACTGTAGTTGTGTTTTGATTACGACACAAACAATAATGGTAGACTGGAACTAAAACAACAAGTACAACAATAATAATAACGCCAGCAACGATGATAATTACAACATCTAGAGATAAATGTATATCTTTATTGATGGCTTTAAATATTTGATTACCGGTCGATTCACTTGTAGTGTGTTCATTTTCGAAATTCACTTGAGACACCTGTAAAATTATTGAAGATGACGCATGGCCTACAATATTTGTAGCAACACATGTTATATTAGTTCCAGTTTGTTTGACTTCAGGATTAAGAAGTTTCAAAATTTGTCCTGTTTCATCTATGCTATATCTATCTGCAGGAATATGTGGGTCAAATAACCATTGGAATTTTGTGACAGGTGGATTAGATGAAGTCTGGCAGAAAGCAATCGTCTCTCGGCCTGGCAATGTTGGGGTTGCGTGCTGAACCATAGCCTCTGGCTTATGTAATATATCCAAAGGCCCTATTGAACATGTTTGATTGTCTGTAAACAAAGGTGATACTTGCTTACAGATAAAAGTAGCGCGATTATAACGTTTTCTAGCCTTCATGCTAAATTCCAAAGATATATTTTTCCCGTATTCATTAAGTGTAGTAACTATATCTTGGCTATCTATCGAATGAATCCAGCTTAATATTACTGGTGGCTCTACTTTTTCAGATAAACACGAAAATGTAACAGTAGATCCAGCGACAACAGTAGCGGTTTGTAAAGAGCAATAAGGGTACAGAGGTGAAGGTAGCGAATGAACAGCGAGAGATGCTGTCCGCGATCGAATAATAGTTTCACCATTCGAAGCCTGTACAACAGCGCAGTGGTATTGGCCTGCATCTGCCAGAATAACTCCGTTTATAAAAAGTATACTTCTTGCCCCGTTCTGTTTTCTTTCGATTACTATTCGAGTTCCTTCTTGTACTATTCGTCCGTTGTTATACCACTGTAACGTCTGACCTTCCTCAAGCCCATTGACAATACAGGGGAACCAATGATAATTTCCTTTCATAATTTTATCATCTAATGGCTCAGCAGCAAATATTGGTACACAATTTGTTTGCTTCAAATATAACAACAATTGAGCAATGAGCAGGACCAACAATTTAGGAAACATAGTAACTTCTATACAGATAAATTATAGCGATCACTTATTTTCTAAGATACCGAATGTCAATCTGAAGCAAGTTGCTTAAATACAGTATTATACTAAGGCTTTCAATTATTGCGTAACACAATTATTCAGAAGGTCTACTAAAAAATTAACGTGTTACTCGTACTGTGTTACATTGTTTTTAACGTACTCAACAGAATTCGGTCGTGCAGTTCACAAATTAAAACATCATTCAGAATTCTATGAATATATATGGTGAACAGAAGTGTATATGGGAGAAACTTCCAGACGTATTGCTTTAACTTTATTTAGAACATAGGAATAACAATAAATAAAATTACATTTATAATTCCAATATAATTCGGTTTTTAAATTATTAGCTTTATTTATGTGTGTGTGAACTTGTTCAACGTTGTTGTAGTGAAAAATATTGTCAATATTCGTTCAATAGTATCTCGTAAATGATGGGGCTGATTTTTATCCAGGGGTTTATTGGATTAGTGTAATGAATCTGGATATATGTTTAATAATGTACAACGCTACATATGCGTTCTGTTTCTAAGTCAAATGATAAATAATAACATGCCAAATAATAATAATATGTCGGTCTTATATAGCGCTTCATGCATAAAGCCTCTAAGCGCTTCACATTACTACCCCGGTCATTGGATCAAACACGCAATAATATTGCAGCTAGTAATCAGCGCAGTTGTGTTCGAACCTACCAGGTACCCACTTGTACTCGTGGGTAGAGAGAGGCAACCGTAGACAAAGTTACTTGCCTAAGGACACTAGAGTTTCGAACCTCCGATCTTGGGGTCCAAGCCACAACCGATGCGCCAACCGCTTCTACCGTTTTTAATAACACCGTAGACCATTTTTCGTTATTGTTGGTCATCTTATTGTTTTCCAGCATTCCAACATTTATCAACATTTTTATTTTTTTTGTTCTAATGCTGGTAACCACATTGGGAGGGTGGATGGACCCAGTAGTATGGGGAAAAAAACCCCAGCTGAAAAAAGGGCAGATGAACTCCTCTGAGCCAACGGCCAACCATGCTTTAGTTTAAGGAGTATTTTTTTAGTTTCATAGGATAACATCAACTTTTTTCAAAATGTCATACTCAAAGAGCTCAATCACCAAGCGCATAGAGGCTTTTTTTTCGCATGATACGCTAAATACAAATCCAACTATTATTATTATTATTATTATTATTATTATTATTATTATTATTATTATTATATTATTATTATTGTTAATTTGAATATTTTAAAAATCTTGAAAAATAAACAACGATTAAAGTTTTGTCGTTAAAGACAAACAATAAGGTGATGATGTTTCTCCAGACAGGACAAAACTGACAGAATTTGTTTGTCGTTTTCAGTATTAATATAAGTATGTGGTTCAAGATCACTCGGAGCTTGTGAAGCAGTCTAATGTATCCAATGAAGATACACTGCTGTAGTAGGTACACAAGGCAATAACCTATCTTGTACCGTATGTCCTTAATATTTCCTTAATACACTTCAAGTTTGATGACCTCTTATTTTCAGTATTCATAAAATGTTCATGTTTCCGAGAATTAATATGCTATAGGATAATAAAAAGTTCAATTTGTTTAGTAGTAACATTGTTGAAACATTAAATCTGTTCCATGATATGAAAACGAATATAAATTGATTTATTTATGATTGATCTAATATTGAATATTAAATATCCAACCTAACAATGTAACTCAGTTCTGATAGAATAATCATACAAAATTTGAACTATTTATGGACAAAATTGACATGCAAGTATTTGATATCAATAATTACTTAATTAATTCTTTTTGTTTATATAGGAGTACCGATAACCAATAATAGTATATGCCAAAGATAAAAAAAACTTCCAAATTCAAAATTTGTATACTTAACTATTCTATCTGAATTTGGCTCATTCTTCAATCATGAGTCCTATGACTGTGAAAGTAAAATGCCAATGGCTTTGAATAATGTGTTTATACTGTGGTATGCAGAAAAAGTCTGATCTATTTTGTTTATCTTATCCTACTCCTTGAACCAAAAACGACCTTTAACTCGTAGGATCTCATCGGTTTTTTTAAAGTTGTTTTTTTTCCTTGCAGCTGTGTGGCCGTGTGACACTATGGGCCAATAAGACCACCATTCTCTCAAGAAAATTGCATGATGCATAACTAAATCAAATACAAGTAATAAAATGTTAAAAACGAGTTTCTTTTTTCAAAATGTACGTTACCAGGTACAATATTCACTGCTTTATATCAGTCGTTTTCTGTGTCAATATAAGTATAACTATGGGATTCAAGATCATTGGGAACTTGTGAAGCCGTTGAATGTCTCCAATGACCATACACTTCTGTAGTAGGTACACGAGGCAACGAACGATCTTGTATCATATGTCTTAAAATAACTCCCTCCCTAGCCTCATAATATACTTCAGGTTGATTCACCTCTTTCCCAGGTAAATCGACTGTTGTTATGTTATCATTACGACACAAACAATAATGGTAGACAGGAACCAGTACAACGAGTACAATAATGATGATAACACCCGCAACAATGATGATCACAACATCCAATGATAAACGAATTATTCCGTCATTTTCAGACTTCGTTTTTTGAATAGGTTTTCCAGTGGTATGTTCACCTTGGTTTACATCACTAAGCGCTACTAGTAATGTTATTGATGACGAGGATTTTCCGACTTCATTTGTTGCAGTACACGTTACATTTGTCCCACTCTGTTGTAGGGTTGGTTTCAAAAGTGTTAACACTTGTCCTGTATTATCTACCTTGTAATCTTTACCGTCGATATGAGGGTAGAATGTCCACATGTAACTGTCGACTGGTGGATTTGCAAATGTTTGGCAAAATATGACAGTTTCGATTAAAGGTAGTACGGGGCTGGTATGTTGAATCTTAACATTAGGTCTGTAGCGGACATTTAAAGGTCCTACAGAACAGAAAGACTGGTTGTTAGGCATAAGATCTGATACTTGTTTGCAATTGAATGTTATACCATTATGTTCTATCTTCAGACGTAATGGTAATTCGTTTATTACTTCATGCTCCCTCTCCACGGTCGTCATTCCACCTCTAATGAGGTTATTATTTTCTGTCCAGGATAAATGCACTGGAGGATGAACATTTTCTGATTTACAAGTTAATTTAATTATGGAATCAACTACAGCAATGCTCTCGGAAACCGAACATACGGGATATTGAGAAGTAGGAAACGACTGTACAATTAAATTTGCAGGTTTTGAACGAAGGATAATTCCACTGGGATCTAAAATGGCGCAAATATATTCTCCACTGTCGATCCCGATAGCTTTATTAATAGAAAGTATGGACATTTCACCGAATGTTGTTTGAAGTGGTATGACAGTAAATGCTCCAACCTTGTCTTTGTCTTCCATAATTTTGTTTCCTTGAGCTATCAACACGTTCCCTTTATACCAAGCAAATTCATCGCTTTCCGACATTCCAGTCACTGTACAGCTAAAGCGGTGAGCTTCACTAGCATTTACTACAATGCTTGTCGGTTCCTCTACGAACCTCACATCTCCATCTATATAGATCAATAACAAGTTGAAAATAAAAATATAGAAAACTAACACTTTTAAATATTGCACCATGTTTAGATCTAGACTCTTCAAAGCCATCGCACAACATGGCTATTCGACGGTTTCACAATCATTTCGTTTTAAACATTGTTATAATACAGGCATGTTAACATCATGATTTAGTTTCTGGTTCCAGTTTATGCTCAAATTATTTTTTGCATCTGCTCTATTTTATCGAATGGACAATGTTTCAAATTCGCTTTCTATATTCATTTTACATATTGTTAATAAAAACATATATTTTCACAATTGTTTTTGATAGCAATATGAGTACAACTATATACTAAAAATGCATTATAACATGTGAAGCTGTTGCATGTCTGTAATGATCATACGCGTCAGTATGTAGCACTCTACAAGGGACAATCAAGATTTTATATTGTATGACTTCTGATAACTCCCTCCCTATATCAATTTCACATTCTCATGCTAAGTTTCTTCTTTACCTATAGAATTGATTACCACAGGTTTATCGTTACAACACAAACGACAATGGTAAACATCAACCAGATGAATGGCAAAAAATTGGTAACAACACCGGCAGCAATAACAGTAAATAATACTTTTATCTTCGAAATTATCACTTGTTGTTTTCTCAGTTTCAACATTATTATTTGGTTCGTAATGTAAATCCGTATTGCAGACATTGTTTCTCCTATCTCATTCTTGGAAATACAAGTAAGATCAGATCCGGTTTGCGCTACTAACAACTTCTGAAACGTTAAATACAATTCTACAATAAATGAACGAAGTTTTCTTTTTTTCAAATTTGGCATATTGTCGTTTGTTTCCTCCGAAATAGTTGTTAAAATATTTAGTACATGTTTATTAGTATCCAAACTGTCGCCTTATATCAATGTGTGAACTACCATCTGAAACTTTCAACTGCTGGCCGGATAGACTTCATTTCGCAAATATAATATTGGCTGTATGTAATAAATTTCAGAATAATGATCCAAATGTCTGATACAGCAGCTCGTGTCAAGAGAAAAGAACAAATAATTCCTTAGATATTGTGTATCATTATATCTTTTTGTTACAAAAGGTTAATACATTATGATCAGTCGTTTTCTGTATCAATGTAAGTGTAACTATGTGTCTCAAGATCATTCGGAACTTGTGAAGCTGTCGAATGTCTCCAATGACCATACACTTCTGTAGTAGGTACACGAGGTAAGGAACGATCCTGTATCGTATGTCTTAAAATAACACCTTCTTTAGCCTCATAATATACTTCAGGCTGAATTACTATATTTCCTGAAGAATCAACTGTTGTGCTATCATTGCGACACAAACAATAATGATATACGGGAACCAAAACAATAAGAACTACAATAATAACAACACCTGCTACTATGATGATCACAACATCTAAAGATAAATTTATGTCTTTTTCATTATGGAAAATCTGACCACCAGTTAAATCAATAATGTTATTTCTATTATTAGTATTATGTTGTCCTACATGTAACTGAATAGTAGATGAGTTCTCACCGACTTCATTTTTTACAGTACATGTAATGTTAGTACCATTCTGTCTAAATGTTGGACTGAGAAGTGTTAAGAGCTGCCCCGACCTGTCAATAGCGTATTGGTCTGGGTCTAAGGTAGGACTAAATGTCCATCTAAATGTTTCAACTGGTGGGTTTGCGAAAGTCTGACAAAATAAAATTGCTTCCCTGTTGGGTAAAACTTGATCAGTGTGTTGAATGATAATAGTCGGTTTGTACCGAACATTGAGTGGACCAATCGAGCACGACGAAACATTGCCAGGCCTCAATTCCGATGTTTGCCGACAGGTAAAAATTTCATTGTCGTCAGCCTTATTCACCGATAGAACCAGATCTAGTATGATGTAATCACGATTCTCTAGAGGCGGCTGCAAGTTGTTCCTTATTATATTGTGATTTCGATACCATTGCAATAAAACCTGAGGTAGAACATTTTCAGATTTACATGATAATGTTACCGTTGTACCAACAATTATGCTATCATTATTAATGGAGCATTTTGGGAACTCAGGGCCAGGTAGTGATTGAACCGTCAGTCTAGCTCGCCGGGAGTTAATAGTCACCATACTTGCTAAAGAAAAGACGGAACAATGAAATAGCCCTGCATCTTCTTTTTTAACCATTTCAATTGTCAAAATAGAAACGTCATTACCAAGAATGTTATTTGTGGCAATAGAATATCTTCCTTGATGAATATTACCATTATCGGTAACTAAGACCCCGTCTTTAAACCAATCAAATGTATGTCCTATGTCTGATGAACTAGAAGAAACGATACACTTGAACGCATGTTTATATTCAAATATCACTACAGCATCTTGCGGTTCTTTAAGAAAAACATACGAGGCAAAACAGGACCGACATAACAATAAAAACCAGCAAATCACGATGTAGAAATCCCATTTTATATTCCCCATTTTATAAAAACTTTAAACTCAGTAAAGCAAAAATATTAAATTATTCAGCTATCTCCTTTGATACATGGAATAAAGCAGGCAATCAGCAATATACCAAGTATCATGAATATGGAACGCTGTTGTTAATGGCCTTCTATTTTTACAATCATGTTCTCCGTATTACTAATTTCTAAAAAGTATTACCAGATATAAGTCCGTATTAGTATTTCATGTATATACAACCGTTGAAAAAAATCATAGTAAATTTAAAAACAATGGTGAATTTTTGTATTGTTCTGTATTTAATATATTTTTAGATATTATCGAGAATTAGAACGATAACGATATAAGAAAATATTGGGTTCAATTTGTTTAGTAGTAAAAAGTTGAGATCTATTCGGTGTCTCATAACATCAACAACAAGTATATAAATTAAAAGTATTAATATTACTTCCATTTTATATGATTATATTGCACGTTATGTATAATTTAATTTGACAATATCCATTGAAATAATGCACCTCAATTCATATAGAAAAACTAAATACATCATTTCTATGTTTTACATTTATTGACACTACTATTGAAATTACATATTTTTTAAGATGAAGAAAATAGAAATGCAATCGTAATGATATCAAATAATTACTAGTCTTGGTTGCTTATTTTTTGTTGTTCATTTCATGTGAAAATGGGTATCTTTTAAAGTATTTGCTAATGATATCGAAACTCATTTTTGATTAAAACGTACATGTGTTAATTTAATCTGAATTTTAATCCTAATTCGTCTTCTTTTTAACAAGTAGTATCACAAGTTACAGCGTCAAGATATACTCAGAAATCATTGACTAATCAATAAACGAATTTATGTTCACCAGAATGGGAAATTTTCATGATTGTATAGCCAAAAATAATACAAACATTTATTCAATCGTTTTCTGTATCAATATATGTGTAACTATGTGACTCAAGATCGTTGGGAACTTGTGAAGCTGTTGAGTGTCTCCAATGACCATACACTTCTGTAGTAGGTACACGAGGCAACGAACGATCTTGAATCGTATGTCTTAAAATAACTCCTTCTCTAGCTTCATAATACACTTCAGGTTGAATTACTTCTTTTCCCGATGAATCAACTGTAATTACGTTATCATTAGTACATAAACAGTAATGGTAGACGGGAACTAAAACAACAAGTACAACAATAATAACAACACCAGCGGCAATAATGATCACAACATCCAATGATAAACGAATTCCTTCTCCATTTTCGGATTTTGTTCTGTGAATAGACTCCCCAACTGTTTGTTCACCGTGATTTAAATCACTAAGTGCTACTAGTAATTGTATTGATGACGAGGATTTTCCGACTTCATTTGTAGCAGTACACGTTACATTTGTCCCATTCTTCTGTAGAGTTGGTTTCAAAAGTGTTAATACTTGTCCTGTGCTATCTACCGTGTATTCATCACTTTTGATTTGAGGATAAAACGTCCAACTGTAACTGTCGACTGGTGGATTTGCAAATGTTTGGCAAAATATGACAGTTTCGATAAAAGGTAGCACGGGGCTGGTGTGTTGAATCTTTACATTGGGTCTATAACGGACATTCAGTGGTCCTACAGAACAGTATGTGTAATTGCCAGGTATGAGATCTGATACTTGTTTACAATAGAATTTCATACCATGATGTTCCTTCTTTAGCAGCAACGTTAATTCTGTTATTACTTCATCCTCGGTTTTTAGCCTATTCGTTTCATCTCTGATAATGTTGTTTTGTATCCAGGATAAAGCAACTGGAGGCAAAACATTTTCCGATTTACAGGTTAATGAAATTGTTGAATCAACTACAGCAATTATGTTAGAAACAGAGCATACGGGATATTGGGATCCTGGTAATGACTGAACAACTAGATACGCAGGCTCTGAACGGAAATTATTTCCACTGGGATTCAAAATGGCGCAGGTATATGCTCCACTGTCGCCAGATACAGCGTCACCTATCGTAAAAATTGACATAATATTTCCCGAAGACGTTTTAAGTTCTGAAACTAATAGTCTTTCCACTTCAGAAACATAGATGACATTTTCTCCGTCTGTCAATTGCGTGTTTCCTTTGTACCAAGCAAAGCTCTGCTCGTGCAACATGTTACTAACTGTGCAAATAAAAGGTTGGCTATCTCCAGCTTTTACGGTTGCATTCTGTGGTTTCTCTTTGAATTCAACAGCTACAATGTTCATAATACTGTGTATACTTATCAGTACAAAAATGAACTTTTCAATCATGGCATAAATAGTAGCGTGCCATATAATTCCAAACATAGATAGAAAATAAAGCAGCTTCTGACCCATTGAGGATTAGGTAGACTGTTGTTGTTCTACATTTTACTTTGCCTTATAATCATGAAACATCCCTATCAAAGTTTGTTATAGTTACGCGTACTCTGGCAAATGTAGAAATTGTCGTTCTTTAGTTTGCAGCGGACGGTGCTTGGTATAAGACGGTTGCAATGACTAGAGTAATTTATGGTTTCCTTCCATTTATATATTCAAAGGATTCAATTAAGTAAACCTCAGGAAAGTATTTTCAAACTTACAACAACCAAACTCCATAATTAACCCTCACATATAATACTATATGGATCATTTATAGTTTACTTCTAGTTTTTGTTCGTTATATAATGAATTTTTACATTTCAGAATTATTTCTTTCGATATAAAAAAAAAAATCAATACATATTATATACATATTATGTATTAAAAACCAATTAAAACACATACAATTTTCGGTAAAGACAGAGGCTGAGAAGACATTTAAATAACAATCGAGTGTACTGCTGTTTAATAGGGCTAATTTTCTTTAATATACAAATAATGAAACATGATTATTTTACATGCTTTAGAATCTTTTTAATTGCAAATAATGGGTATCTTTATCTGATATTAATTATGTCCTATAGGTAATATGTAGTAATTGCATGGAGCAAAGCGTTTATTTTATATGAATTTGGACAGGATTGCTATTGCGTTCGTGATATCTGTATTTGAAATATTCAACTAGAATTAAAATTATTTTTTGGTTAGCAGTTTATTACTTGGCAAATTTCATTAAAAACAATTTATCTGTAACGGGGTCTGAAACAAAATGTAAAAGCTAGTAAGAACATTGGCGTCTAAAATCTAGTAGCAGTCAGGCCACTTCAGAAAATATTAAGCAATCTCAAATGTACGACAAGCTATGGTAATAAAAGTATGTCCTTTTAAATTACTACTCTGCAAAATATTTCAATTTGTCAACCATTAATTTATGCTTTGTTACGTATAGTTAATTTAGTTAATGACGAAATAAAAGTATGGTTAAATATTGGTATATGTGGCTGTATATCAATATTAAAAACATTCAATCATTCTCAGTGTCTATGTAAGTATAACTATGCGATTCAAGATCATTCGGGACTTGTGAAGCTGTTGAATGTCTCCAATGGCCATATACTTCTGTAGTAGGTACACGAGGCAATGACCGATCTTGTATAGTATGTCTTAATATAACTCCCTCTCTAGCCTCGTAATACACTTCAGGTTGAGTTACTTTTATTCCTGAAGAATCAACTGTCGTTATATTACCATTACGACACAAACAATAGTGGTAGACGGGAACCAGAACAACGAGTACAATGACAATAATAACACCAGCAACAACGATAATCACAACATCTAATGACAAACGAATTCTTCCTTGTTTTTGAGATTGTGTGTCGAGAATGGTTTCCCCAGTTACATATTCTCCGTCACTTACTTCACTCAGTGCTACTAGTAATTGCATTGATGACGATGATTTTCCGACTCCATTTGTAGCAGTACACGTTACATTTGTTCCACTCTGCTGTAGGGTTGGTCTCAACAGTGTTAATACTTGTCCTGTACTATCTAACATATAATCCCTCCTTTTGATTTGAGGGTTGAACGTCCACCTGTAACTGTCGACACGAGGATTTGCAAATGTTTGGCAAAATATGACAGTTTCGATTGCTGGTAGCACGGGGCTTGTGTGTTGAATCTTAACATTGGGTTTGTAGCGGACATTTAGTGGCCCTACAGAACAGTATGAGTGGTCGTTAGGCATTAGATCCGAAACTTGATTACATATAAATTTTATACCATTATGTTCTTTCTTTAGCAGCAACATTAATTCATTTATTACTTCGTTTTCTTTCTTTCGCATCTCCAGTCTACCACTAATAAAGTTATTGTTTTCTGTCCAAGATAAATTCACTGGAGGCAGAACATTTTCAGATTTACAAGTTAAAATAATTGTCGAACCAGCAACCGCAATAGTTTTGGAAACAGAACATAGGGGATATTGAGATCCAGGTAATGAATGAACAATTAGATATGCAGGTTCTGAACGGAGAACAATTCTACTGGATTCTAAAATGGCGCAGGTGTAGGCTCCATTGTCGCTTGATACAGCGTCATCGACTTTTAAAATTGACATAATATTTCCAGAAGATGTTTCAAGTTGTGAAACCGATAACCTTTCATTACCAGAATTATATTCAATGACATTTTCTCCGTCCGTCAATTGTATGTTTCCCTTGTACCACGCAAACCTCTGCTCGTTGTTCAACATGTCACTAACCGTACAAATAAAAGGTTTATCATTTCCAGCGTTTATGGTTGCATTCTGTGGCTTCTCTTCGAATTTAATAGCGACAATGTTCACAATATGATGTACACTTAGTAATAACAAATACAAATATAGCATTCTTAACATGTTATAGATAAAGCCTCCTAAAACATAGATAAAAATAGAGCAGATCATAAAGAATGGGACATATGCAATGTATCCTATTTCAGATCAAAACTGTTATTCACCTCCAAAATAAATAAGCCCACTCTTTACATCATGGCACATCCCATCAATAAATTGTTGTAGTTACTCGTACTGAGAAAGTTGTAGAAATCGTTACACTGTTAGCCTGCTGCAATGATTTGTAATATAGTGCTTACTTTACTTTGTTTACCAGTTTCATTGTCCACAATTACATTTATATAAAAGCAAATGTAATATTTTCACTTGGCTAAGAATGATTGAACTTTCTAATTGTAACTCACATATTATTTTATGTAGTTAGTTCTTTTAATACTACTTTGCTCGTTAAACCTTTACAGTAATTGCAATGTTTAAACTAAATTGGAACAGGAAAAGCAGCATACATGAAAATAAAAGACCTCTTTTTTAGAAAGACATTATTTATTACTGCTTTTTTATAGACCCATAATAATTTTAAAAATCAATAAATAATAAAAATTATTATTTTTATACACTATTTGGTATCTATATTTTTCTATTGTCAAGTTATGTCGTATATCATGTAGCAACTTCATAACTGCTTGTTATATGTTGTAGTGTTTTGCCGATGTAATTGGAGAAATGTGCCATTCCTATAAAAGAAATCATATAATACTGCTCTTTGAAAGACACATAATAAGTAAATAATAATAATGGCAGAGCTAATAGCGATACTAGATTACGTGTAATAATTCACTTCAATTAGAAATAAAATATTAATAACAAAATCAACAAAAAATGTTTAATTACAAATAAGTATTGCGAAGTTAAATAGCGCTCCATTATGTATAATCATAATGTCAATATAATAATTCAGTGGTTCCATTTACAAATATAATATTAATAACAAACCAACAAAAACATTTACAATAATAATGTGTGTAGTTAGGAAGTAATAACAATTGACAAAGAAAACGTTTTGTTTTGTTTTTCAAATTTTCGATATTTGAATAAAATATTGAAATGAGTTATGAGTACATGATTTCATTCATAGTCATGCACTGGTTTGATGCATATCTCAGTTTTATTAATATATTATAATGATGTTCGGTGTTTAAACATTGTATTGTTTAATATGTAGACATAATTATGTATTAAAATATAAAATAATATAATATTATATATAAGCATGAAATGTATTACATATTTATTTATAATTTCTTTACGTGTATCATATGTATATTGTAAATACCTAAAGAAAGGTGTTGATTTATCCACAAAAGAAAAAAAAATCAAATAAATAATAAACATTGGTTTTCAAACCTTGAGGTCCGAGTTGCAATCCCTCGCTGTGCATTTCACTTGTGGCCTTGAGCAAGGCACTTTATCTGCTTGATTCTCTCCACCCAGGAGTATAAATGGGTACCTAATGGGGTGGGGGTTGTTTGATACTGCGCCAATATATGGCAGCAACACTTCAGCATGTGGCCCCAACGACCAAGGAAAAACAAAGTGCTTTGTTAAACCAACGGAAAAGTGCTATATAAATACCAAATACAAGCAAATAACAAAGTATAATTTATAAGCCACGAAATACTTGCACCTCTGCTGAAACACAGTGTAAACCACTTCACAACCTATCAAAAGTACAAGCTGGGGTAACTAAGCATGGCCGGCATAGAATGGTCAGTGTGTGGTTCGAACCCTCGACAACGACACTTGCAACATAAATGGAAATTCAATCGCCTTCCCCGGTTGTAATCTTTTGCAGATGCAATTAGTGCAACGTGCCAACTCTTAAATTATTTTATGAATTTAAATACAAACACAAAATTTACTGGTGTTTGTGTTATCTGCTCTCTTAAGCCATACAATTCTTATTGAAAAATAGTTATGTTAGTCTATAATAACTTTGTCTGAAATACTTCAGAAAGTTAATTAAAATAATGAGTTATTGCGCTTTTATAATATATATTTTCCTATAAAAAGAAAAGTATATATTATTTTATCAAATACTATGTAATGTGCAAAATCGATATGAACTGTGTAATACGGTAATAACGGTTATAGAGTGTTTATATTTATCGGGCTAATACAATGATATTAAGTATACCTAATAACATGTTTTATTTGACGGTATATACAAATGTACAGTATTCTATCGATCGTTCTCTGGATATAAGTATAACTAGGGGACACTTAATATTTATTAGACGGAAATACTGTTAAAACAAGATAGTTGTAGCTATTTACAATATAATAATGGAGTTGAAATAAAAAGGGATAATCATTTTAGGATAAGAGTAAGATTAATCGTTCTCGGTATCTATGTATGTGTAGCTATGTGTCTCAAGATCATTGGGAACTTGTGAAGCTGTCGAATGTCTCCAATGACCATACACTTCTGTAGTAGGTACACGAGGTAAGGAACGATCCTGTAGCGTATGTCTTAAAATAACACCTTCTTTAGCCTCATAATATACTTCAGGCTGAATTACTGTATTTCCTGAAGAATCTACTGCTGTTGTGTTATCATTACGACATAAACAATAATGATAGACGGGAACCAGAACAACAAGTACAACAATAATTACAACACCAGCAGCAATGATGATCACAACATCTAAAGATAAACGAATCCCATTCTTGTTCTTGAATTCATTATGATTGAATGATACATCGATAGAATGTGGATCACCATATGGCTTGCCAATATTTATTTGTATTGTCGATGAACTTTTACCAATTTCATTTGTGGCTGAACATGTTACTTTAGTTGCATTCATGGTTAGAGACGGATTCAAAAGAGTTAACAATTGTCCAGATGCATCAATCGTGTACTGATTATCACCTAATGTAGGATGGAATGCCCACTGGTATTCATCAACCGGTGGATTTGAAAATGTTTGACAAAATAATATAGCTTCGCGTCCAGGTAGTATCTGATCAGTGTGTTGAATGACAATAGTTGGTTTGTAGCCGACTTTCAGAGGTCCGACTGAACACGTCGATTGGTTTTCGGGTCTAACCGGCGATGTCTGAAAACATGTGAAGACAGCGTCGATATCGTTTTTACTTACTACTAAATCGAAATCAAGTTGTACTTTATCACCACTGAATGTTATTCTTTCGTCGTTCCGTATCTTGTATTTGTTTCGTCGCCACTCCAGTGTTACCATTGGCTCTACTTTTTCAGATATACATGAAAGTTTAATATTCGCTCCAACTAAAATCTTGTCAACGAATAACTGGCACTCAGGAAAACGTGAGTTAGGCAACGATTGAACCGTCAATCTAGCTTGTCCCGATCTCAGTTCTGTTTTTCCGGGAGCTAAAATCACGCACCTATAAAGACCAGCATCATTTGTTTCAATATCCTTTACCGTAAGAATTGTTATATTAAGGCCTGATATATCATACGATACAACCGATATTTTCTGTTCCTGAACTGTTAAAAGTATTCCATTTTTTTGCCAGACAAATGAATGGTTTCCTAATTTCATACCTCGAGCCGCACACTTGAAGGAATGTTCTTTACCGGCAAGCAGAGCTGCACTTTGCGGCTCTTCTGTGAACTCTGGTGAAGCCCAACACAATCCCAATGTACACATGAAAAGTAATAAATAGTACTCATTGAAATTTCTCTCTTTCATTTCTTTTGCGTCGTTAAAGTATATTTCTTATTGAGTTTACTCAACAGAATTTACGAAAGGAGTGTTCCTTGTATAACGTTTTCAATAGCACTTAAAGGAAAATTAATATTTATTATGGCAAGACCGATTCAAAGTTAAGTTTACCATTCTGCAATGGTAATGTAAATAAACTATACTCAGACTAATTAAAGAAACATCGTTCAGTTAACAAAGGTAAGGTGCGTAACTTTATAAATGGAAAAACATAAATTCTAAAAACATATTAAATAGCGTTGATTGACATACTGCATTTAAGAAGATAAATATTTATGTATGCCTTACGATAGTCAACGTTATTGATAATTATTATTATTATTATTATTATTATTATTATTATTATTATTATTATTATTATTATTAAGCCTAGATTATTTTGTGGTTTTTTCACATATTATCATCATCTTGCTGTTTCATTTCGTAACATAATTTAGTTTATGTAATATCGAAATTGTTATAATAGCATGAATATGGCAATAAAGCAACATTTTTTTTTATAAGTGCAGCTCGAATAAGCGCCGCACTGGGGCCTCCAAAATTGTAAAAGCGCCGCGTCGAGCATTTACGGTATTGTCATTTGTAATAACAATTTTTAAAAAACCACATTTTTATACAGAAATATAATTGCAAAGGTCCGCTCATAAATAAATAAGAGAAATAATAAGTAGGTAAAATGTAACTAAATAAATTATAGAGATAACATGAAAATAACAAAATAAAGAAATAGAAAACAAGTTCATTACATTATGATAAATAATTTTATAGCACACATACCCACTTAGAAACTCGGGAGACGGCAACATGAAAAAACGTTCTTTTAAGTTTGAATCAGACTGGAGGCAATTGGTTGCACACTTATAAGGCATACCGCAACCATTTAGAGCTGTCTCTTATACACA